CTAGGGTTAAAGAAGATTACCGTGGAGGTACAAGACAATCACAATATATATCTCCAAACTGCAGATTCCTCCCACCCCTCACCCGCTCCTTCCCCTGCTGCTTCCATCAGAAATGACATGTATATATATATACTATAAATAACAAAAGTAGTATTACATCCACTCAATTTTGTTGTCTTCCGACAAATGACAGGAAGTTTCTTTCTATAGCAACTGTTTGTCGGTATGGATTTGTATTTGGAAAAAAAAAAAAATTCCAAGTTCAAACACCGTGCTAACTGGCTTGCAAGTTGCAACGGTCGACTTCATTTCCTGGGAATCTTCTCTGATCATTACTAATAAATATATAATATGGAAATGCTTAACTTGTTGAATTGAATGACCCGCGACGTGCATTTCCTAGCATATCTGGTAATTTGTCAGTCAGCAGTCGCTTTGAAAGCCCGCCAGTGGCATCTTGGTAAAGATTCGGAGTTTGCCTGATTTGTTGTTCAGACATAAAGTAAAAGACATATGTTCTTGGTGTTGGTTTTTTTTAAGGTTTTGGCAGAGACTTAAATAAAAAAATAATAACAATTATAATGGCACCATGGGGAAGCTTCTTTGAAGCTCTGTTTGGTTTATTTTTCTCACCTATGATGGCAACAAGAAGAATATATAGGTATATATGATTAGGTTTATGATAATCGCTTTAATATATTCAAAGGAGCTTTCGTGGGAGACATGAAGCTTAATTTTTCTGATTTAGAATTGTGCTTCATCTTAATCATTCTTACATATATATTTTTTTTAATTTTACAAATTAGTTAAAAAATTATCACATATCTTTTTTCTTTTTAATATATTCTAAAAAATATGTATTGTTTTGCTAATGCTGATAGTAAAATTTAAGACAACTGTGATAATTTCTTAATATATATTCCCATGTTTAAGTTTCTTTTATTTATTTTTGAAAGTTACAAACTACACAACTTGCGTAACATTGAAGAGGGATTAATGTACTAATAGTATAATTTATATGGGTCTTTACAGCTATATCAAATTGGATGATTGCGCAATCTGTAGTTCTTATCTAAGTAATCGAATGATTCGATCGGCAGGGGTCCTCCAAAACCAGTGTAATTTGCTTTGAAGTGATTTTTTAAGAGTGTTTATATTACTCCCTATTCAAGAAAAGAAAAAAAAATTCCAAGAATTTCCTCTTTTCCTTTTTCTTTTTGGTGACCCCATGAATCTGGTGCTTCGCCTAAACTACACGAACTTCGAGAAAACATAAGAATCATTCGAATTTGATTATTTAGATAAAAAATTTTAAATTATGTATTATGTTAATTAAAATCGATATAAGATTACTTAGATAAAAACTTTCGTAAAATATATAATTAATTTATATTTTAATATTTTAAATTATATATCATGTTAACCTAAATTGATATAAAATAAAGATAGGATAAGGACCAAAGAAAATTAAGGTTAACCAATTGATGGTAAGCATATTTTCACCTTGCATAACATTTTACTAAATGCCAAGACTAGAGCTTCTCTTTTGGTCATACTATTTATGAAGAAATGCTTCTTATAAATACTTTTTTTTTAATTATTTTTTTGACATAAAAAGGTATATTGAAACTTAAAATATTACATTGTGAGAGATTTTTTCCTACATCTTATATTAATTTTATCACTTGATTTCAAGATTTGAATTTGAAATCTAAGTCAATGATGAGTTATTGCATCAAAGATAAATTACAAAAGTTCTTAAAATTAAAACCCCTACATTTCATATATTGGAGCCCTATGTTGTCTTACAATTAATTATATTTTTGTATTTAAATTTTGAAAAATTATATAATTTGCATTCTAAATTTTCATAAAATGTACAATTTGTATTATAAACTTTTAAATTATATATCATGTTAACCTAAATTCTGATCCTGTTAACTATATCAACTTATATATGGTATTTTACAAATATTATCAAATTATTTATTCATCACATATATTATAAACATTTTTTAATAAAAAGGATCTAAAAAATATTTTTTACCTAAATCAAAAAAATTATCTAGGGGATCAATCAATTATTATTTGTTACGTAATATCCACATAATATTTTACAAAAGATTTAACACTTTTATTTAACAAATAATATGCATCCAACAAAATTATACTAATTAAATATCATATAAACAATTAAATTAATAATATTAAAATTTGAATTAAAATAATATATTATTTTAAAAGTTCAAAATACAAATTATATATATTTTAAGTGTCAATTTATATATTTTTTCATATAGTAAGAGTATAATTTACTCTGTCTTACTTCTCTTCGGTTTTATATTGGATTTTCTTCCATTATCATATTTATGAAAATAACCAAGATGTGATTTATGTGGTGGTTAGCTAATTAAATTGTATTAACAAATGCTATTCTACGACTTACTTCCATGATAAGAAATTTGGTTGTCGCAAGTTCGCAACATAATTCTATTGGTAATCATTGTTAGCTGTTAATATCATACGATACTCAGATATATCACACGGTATAATTCAATCAATATATATTTATATGACGAATCGATTTTGTCATAAATCGATAATATATCTGTTGATATGCAAGCAAATCAATGTATATCGAATAATACATATGATAAATTTTAATGCACTTGCAATAAATTTGAGTTAGACTCAATTAAAATTTAATCATTTCAATTATAAAAAAAAAATTTGAATAATTTGTTGATAAAAATTTTGTAAACGCATCTTCTAAAGGTTTTTAATTTAAATAAAACAAAATTTTCATACTTTTAGTTACTAAATTAATATGAAAAATACAAGAAATTTTTTTATTAAAAATCTATACTGTTAATGAACATGTTAAAAGTTTGAAAAATAACCAAATTTTTTATTTATGTCACATAATTATTCAATCCTATTAATATGCATATTATTATTTTTAGTTTATTATATATATATATATGTTATTTATACTTAATTTTAAAGCTATATTTCATATTTCACGATATGATATTATACTTTAAACGCGTTTTTTAAAAATAAAATTTTGATTCTCGATATATTAATATCTATATATTATTGATAATATTAACCAACGTCTTGCCTTCAAGTGTTAATTTTAAATTAGAAGTGCTGAATCCAAATTACATAAGAGTAAGATTCAAATTTTTAATATGTTCAATTGACAATAAGTAATAAACAATAATTAAGACAATAATATTTAAAATTTTCTACACTTAGTCTCTGATTTTTCCTTTTGTAAACTTAACATTTCAAATAACTTTATTTTAAAAAAAGTAACTTTATTATAAATTAAATATTAATAATTCAACTAATTACCAACATTGATGGTCGACTCAGAAAGCTTTGTCCATTTTCTTGAAAAAAACGCATTATAAATGAAGATTACATTATTATTGACCAAGATTTGGTCTTCCTCTCGGTCTTGGCCTTGTCCTTTCTTGCCAACTGATAATTCTAAAAACTCCAAAATTTTGACTACCTGGTTGCTTCAAGGCCAACAAGATCAACGGTCAGGGATTAATCATACTGCAACTTCGCAATTCAGGCCGTTCAACGGGTACCGACAGATGTGGGTCCTCATTCAATTAGCTTCCCGTTTACGCTATCCGAGGCCACAGCATATCATTTCATGTGTGACGGTCTAAATTTTAGTTGACAATTATACCCATGTTTTCTAGCCCTCATAGACCCATAATTGCAAACAAAGTATGGGCATTAAAGGGAATGCGATATTAATGGTGTCAAAAGAGGGCGTTACATCATTCTTTTAAACCCCAATGAAAGGCCACGTGTGACGGATACGTATCAAAAAGAGCCAGACACTTCGGTACGCAAGGAGAAAGAGTTGTCTCCATCATCTACATAGACATTGCATGAAACGGAAACGTGTCGAGACGACAGGCGATGGTTCATATACGTTTTGGTGTTTTCCAAAGGGGTTTAGATACGGCGGATTTAAGCCATGCTGGGTGTTGTTTTATCTAACGCATTTTTAAGCCTAAAAGCAGTGTAGGGAGGGGGTGGGGGGGGAAGGCATGGGTGCATGGGTCTCATGTGCAACCGCTGCAAAGCCACCCGACACCATCCGTCCACACGAAAATTTCTCAATTTTTCACGCTCCTCCCTCCCAACTACCGAGTAACCTCACAGGCTGGTAGCTCAACCTGAAATTTCTCAATTTTTTGGTGTGTGCGGTTTAATTTTATCTCCTTAGAGTTGGCAGGCATGCTAATGATTGATCATTTATTTATTTTCTAACAACCTCAAATGTAGATTAAATGAAATTTACATATAAAAAGGATATTCCTTGGAACATTTCTTGGTTGGGAATGAAAATGAAAAGGCTTATAGAAATTTTTTGAAAGTGACATAAAACTAGTAATAAAAACGTTAATAATGATAGAAGAACTAGCATCATTTTTGTTCATTACTTCACTCAATCAAATGAGGTCAACAAGTGAACATTCTTCTTGCAAATTCTTTTTAAATCTATGAATTATTCATTTATATATTTCACAAATATTTTGTGCTCTTGAAATGTCATCCTCACGTTGAGAAATTTTTATCAGTTCACACTCCAAATTGGGCTTTAATAAAGAAATAATATCGTCATCGAGGGTTTACTTGCATAGGCTAGAACTAGGTCAACCCAATTTTTAAGCACTGTCTTGTTCGTTTTGTGCAGCATTGATCCCGACAAAAATCGTCAGCGAGTAAGCACACGAATGCACGATCCCAGGGAATTAGAGCGTGTTTGCAGGCGGCGCAAGTACCATAAGAAAAAAAATTCTATGTGCAGAATTCTTACATAAATATATAAATAAAGAATTTCAGTTATAAGGTCCTATTTCTTACTATAACGGTTATTTAATTTTCTCGCTGCCGAAGCTCTTCCGCCCCTATATAAATAGCAGACAGACTCATACTTTTTACGCCACAAAATTAAAAAGCCCGAAACCTTTTTCATTTTGCCCTGTGCTTTGGTGTGCGAGCTTCTTTCAATTCTCAAAGTACTAGCTAGCTACCCAACACATGAGGAGTGACATAGAGGGTGTCTGGGTCTTTGCCCTTGCATCCAAATGCCAAGCTTTTTCTCAAGAAAACATTGCATGGTCCATTTTGATCATTACTCTTGCCTGGCTAGTTATGACCCTAGTCTACTGGGCTCACCCCGGTGGTCCGGCTTGGGGCAAATATAGCTTCAAAAAGTATTCCTCTCTTTCTGTCGCTAACAAGCGAATTCCAGGGCCAAGAGGTTTGCCTCTAATTGGCAGCATGAACCTCATGGCCAGCCCCCTTTCTCACCACAGGATTGCAGCCGCTGCTGAAACATGCAAAGCCAAGAGGCTCATGGCCTTTAGCCTTGGTGATACTCGTGTTATTGTCACGTGCAATCCAGATGTAGCAAGAGAGATTCTTAACAGCTCTGTATTTGCTGATCGTCCAGTGAAAGAGTCGGCTTATAGCTTGATGTTCAACAGAGCAATTGGTTTCGCTCCTTATGGAGTTTACTGGAGAACCCTTAGGAGGATCGCGGCTGCACACCTTTTCTGTCCTAAGCAAATCAAAGGTGCAGAAGATCAGAGACGCGTGATTGCCTCTGAAATGTTCACCTTGTTTGTTCACCATAACCAAAGCTTTCACGTACGCGAAGTGCTCAAACGAGCTTCTCTAAACAACATGATGGTCTCAATATTCGGACGAAAGTATAAGTTGGATTCCACCAATAATGAAGTTGAAGAGCTTCGAGCTTTAGTTGATGAAGGATACGATTTACTGGGAACATTAAATTGGTCTGACCATCTTCCTTGGCTATCATATTTTGACCCTCAAAAAATCAGAGTTAGATGCTCAAACCTTGTACCTAAAGTTAACTGCTTTGTCACCCGAATTATATCCGAACACAAGGCTCAAACAAACGGGAAAACTCAAGATTTCGTTGACGTTTTACTTTCTCTCCAAGGTGCCGATAAATTATCAGACTCCGATATAATCGCCGTTTTGTGGGTAAGCTATCCAATTGTACTTTTGTTCTTATAATTACTGTGGCTCAAATGTTTAATATTTTTTAGTCCAAAAATGTTTCTCGTTTAAGAAAGGTGTAAAAGAAATGAAGTCTACTGTATGACAAATCAAATAATAGTATTTCTGTTACTGAGTTTGGGGGTACTAAATACTGTCATTTGTTTATTGATAATTTATTTTTGTGTAGGAAATGATATTCAGGGGAACTGATACCGTTGCGGTCCTGATCGAGTGGATACTAGCCAGGATTGTGCTTCATCCTGATGTCCAGTCAACGGTCCATGATGAGCTGGACAAGGTTGTTGGCAGATCAAGAGCCGTCGATGAGTCTGATGTAATGAACTTGATTTATCTTCCGGCTGTGATCAAGGAGGTTCTGAGGCTTCATCCACCGGGCCCATTACTCTCCTGGGCCCGCCTAGCTATCACTGATACAACTATTGATGGGTATCACGTGTCAGAGGGGACCACCGCAATGGTGAACATGTGGGCCATCACAAGGGACCCCAAAGTGTGGGCGGACCCACTTGAATTTATGCCCGACAGATTTGTGACTAGAGAGGTTGAGGTGGAGTTTTCTGTTCTTGGTTCGGACCTTAGGCTCGCTCCATTCGGTTCGGGCAGGCGGACATGCCCGGGCAAGAACTTGGGGTTGACCACCGTCACCTTCTGGGTTGCATCCCTGTTGCACGAGTTCGAATGGCTACCGTCCGATCAGAATACTGTTGACTTATCCGAGGTTCTAAGGCTGTCTTGTGAGATGGCCAATCCTTTGAGTGTTAAAGTTCGCCCCAGGCGTAGGTGAAGCCTATCTCACTAGGGTCACTGCTACCATTGTCACATAGGAAAATGAGATTAAGAAAGCGAATATGGAATAGTAGTAGTTTTATGCAAGGGGGTCTGAAAATCTAAACCTTTGATAATGTTATCTTGGTCGTGTCTCTTAGAGTGTCAGGTTTTTAGTTGTTTTAAACGCTGTAAATACGGTGAGAGAGTAACTCTAGTTCCCCAGTATTATTACTCTCCTCCTTCTATCCCCCCCCCCCCTTTTAATGCGTTGTTAATAATCTATTTTTACTATTATATTGAATGAATTAATTATTAATGCGCCTTTTGCATGGTTTTTAGACAACTAATTATGCTTAACATTTGCCACTCTCCAATCTTTCGTGAAAATGGCTAAAAAATGCATAGATCAATGAAGAAGGAGAGTTGAAACTAATTAATGATAAAATTTTTGTTGTGGGTGTCATCAGTTTTATAATATGTTAATAAAATATTAAAATTTTAATTTTAATTATCAAAGTTTAATATATGATAATTAACCTCAAGTGCAAAAAAATGTTTGTTGTGCTTATTGTTATAGTATATGGTAAAGATTAAATTTTGATTAAGTACAAGTTCAATGGATCAAGTTTTTTTTTATACTTTCACAAGCAAATATTCACAATGCCAAAACCATTTAATTGCTTATAAAAGATAGCATTTGCTAATAATAATATTATATTACTGGTATTTTCAATAAATTGACAGGTATCTATAGATATGGTTTCAAATTTGAAAATTTCAATACTTGATATTGATATACGAAAATCTTAACAAATATTTTGGAATTGATGTTATTAAATGACAATATTTTTGCTACTATGGGCTATGCTCATTTACTCTTGAGTGTATTTGGAGAATCTCAATAAAATTTTCTATATAATTAAAATGAAAATTGTTACGCGAATATCACTAAGATATAAGGACTTGGAGTCCCTGTCATGGAAGAATAAATTTTGAAGTGACAACATAATATTCGTTGTGAAACTAGTTTTATTTGCAAAACCTGAATTGGTTTTTCAAAAATTCGACCTGAAGCTGAAATGAAGCAGAGTTGAAGCTATCTGAGAGTACTATATTGCTCTGTCTAGGCCATTTTCTTGTAATATTATCAAAAGATTTAAGAAAAAAATAAGTAATAAAATTAGAAAAGACAAACGGTCATCACATTTTAGAGCTGTCCTCATTATTGATTAAAAATCTGAACAAATCCAAGACCGAATGCATCGTGATAAAATCTTGGCGTATGGAATCGAAATATACCATTTTTGTTTGAACTTTTGTGCAGATCTATGCATTCTCTTTTTCGCTTTCAGAAATCTTCTATCACATGCCTTCATTTAGCCTTATTTCCCTTTTGTTTTCATTGTAGTATTAATAATAAATACTAGCATGGCATTCGATTTAGCGTGAAAAAGAAAAAAAAAAAAAAGAGAAATCATATAGTTGAACGACGTATCTGTAAAATTAATATAAGATAGTGCTTTTTGCTTTATTAGGCCAAAATTTGAAGGGAAAGAGAGCTGTTTTAGCAGAAATTTTCACGGGTCTCGGGAGTCAGGTGCCCTGTGAGGAAGGTGGGTGAAGCATTAAGATGAGATACTAAAAAAACCAAACTTGAAGTTGAAAATAAGCGCCCAAGAGACAAGAGTTTACCTCATATATCATGTAAGTTAGCTCCTGTAATCAGTAATCACTTTGGCTATTCCTGGGATTAAATTCCAACAGACAGCCTGTGGATGAGCGTCAACAGTAGTGTAATCCAGCTTGCTAAAACCAGCACGTTTGTGAACTCTAAAGGGCCCAGCCATGGTGGCTGGTCTCTGGTAAGAATCCAAAACATTAAATATCATGTTCTAACTTTTTAGGAAAGAAGATGAACATCGAAATGACATTTTTAATCCCCATCATCAGATGATGGTGAAGGAGATATCAATGTTTATAGTTTGTCCCCAAAATTTCCTTTTTATATTAATAAATAAATAGTTTTTCTTCATAAGATCATTTGGTGTTACAAGCTATTATATAACTTGGAAATATTCACATTCATGAGTTGAGAACCATGAAAAATTGGATCATATAATCTATAATTTTTTTAAAATTTATTTTACATAATCAATCTTTTATCTGGAGCCATTCCAACCTGACCCTAGAAGGGGCTTTCCCAGTTCATGCCTAGAATCTTTTGGACCACAACAAAATCTTTCCCCATTTAACTGCTTGATAGGACAGGACAGAGAGGCAAGATTAACTTTGTTTATTTAGTTGAAAATATAAAGAAAATTACATCATGTGATGGATGCGTGATTTAAGTAGCTAATACTCATTAGTATATATATATATTTACATAAGTTATTATTTAGCCCCCAAATAAACAATTTTCTTTAAGTACAAAGCCGGTCTCAAATATTACTCTATATTTCTTTTTTAATCATATATATCCCCTAATTTTTAGACTATAAAAAAAAAAGATCAAGTTAAACATAATGGTACCATCTAAAATTTGCTCTTTTTAGGCTTTACTTCTTAACCTCTATCATATCTTGATGGTCACGTTATCAACATTTATATATAATTTAAATATGATTTTGAGATAAATAAATCACTTGTATAAATAATTACGTCACCTTATAAAATATAAAAAAGAGTTGTTAAGAATGATATGTAAATTACTCTAATCTTTTTTTAATTCGTTTTTTTTTTTAATTTTAAATATTTTACTAATTTGAGATCAGAATGTATTTCAAAATCTTAATTTTCATATTTCCTAATCTTTTTATATCTAATAAAATTGATAAAATCTTCAACTTAACTTTTAACAAAATCTACTTTCATCGAATCCAAAATTAACCTAATATATTTAATATAGTGAACAAAATATCAAAGTAATATCTCCCTTTTTCTCAGTCATAACTGATACCATCAACATATATAAGAGATTAGAAATATAAGTTTTTAAGTATTTGTAAATTACTGCAAGATGAACTCTTCATGATTAAGATCTCTTACATTAGCGGCGGATGTCAAAATCAACCGTCTTATATTACATTGGTAATGTTGACTTTATCATAAAACAAACCTTGAGTTACTGTGATGATAATCAATAAACATTGACACAATTTAGTCGAAAGAGTACAAGTGTTCAAATGACAGATTGTTGAGTCAAAAACATGATTAAAATTTGTTAATAACAATATGGCTATTACATCACCATTTAAAAGGCTATAGGTTTGGTATGAGTCAATGATGGTTTTAATGGGTAGAGTAATTAGTGCAAAGAAAATAATGGATTTGGTTCCTTTTCATCTTTGGTTTCTTGTGGATGCAAATTTTCCTAAAACTTAACCAGAAAACATTTAAATATAGCAGATATCTCTGCCTGCATCACATCATCCTACTCATTTTTCTTGACTGCTTGCAAGCTAAAAAAATCATCATCTTCCTCAACGGAGCAAATCCAAATTGAAATTTAAAAAAATTTAAAAATACCCAACTTATGACTATCTTGGAATCATTTCTATCGGAGGGGAGAAATTAATATCAGTCTGATCACAACTGTTTGGCCATTTTCTAATCATCCAGAGTGAAAAGAGTTAGAAGAGAAATGATAATTATAGTTAATTAAACAAAAGTAATTTTCCTGACATACCAAAATTACAGGGCCTGATTAATATATGCCAGAAAAGTGGGGCATCATCTTTTGGTTAAGGGAAATATCTAAACTTGGTGCATTTCAGTCGCCTAGGGCTTATGAATTTTCTTTTGCTTTTAGGGGTCAGATGGGATACTCAAAACATGAGGAAATCGCCGACAATAAAAGAAAGTTCAACAACAAAATCTTATGTGTACAATCCTGATAAGTTGCTGTCGCCCATTTGGGTCGTGGCAATTAAGACGGTTGAGAAGAACATATGGAGCCAATGACAGCGATCTGATGATAAATAACTCAAACCTTTCTCTTGATGAACCTGATAACGACTCCCTACCGGTTTCGATAACCTAATTAAACAATGTGAAAGATAGCGTCAACCATAGCCGCAAGAGACCCTCTCCAACCCCTTCCCTCGCCCTCTTATCTTCAGAAACAGACTGTGACCGGCAAAGAAATCCAATAACATGAAACAAAACACCATGACTGCCCGTTGTTTGGATATGCATGGAACAATTCAGCTTCAATCTCATTAATTAATTTGAATTGCCTACTTGTTAATCATGATAACAAAGTTTTTTTTCTTGTTAATTTCTTCGTTGATAAGTTAAAAGGATTGGTCTGATAATTGGATGCTTTATTTTAAGTTTCTAGGACCACTTGAGAGTGCTCAAACCGAGTTGAGATGCAACTACATATAATAATTTAATTTAATTTAATTATTTCTTTTCTTTCTAGTGGTTTGTCAACTGTTTATAGTTTTTAGTAATCTGTTTGAGCAGGAGCATAAATATCTTATTAATTATATACTATATTATGTCACCTGTACGAAGTATATGTATGAAATTGTATAAAGGAGACAGAGAGATTGAGGAATTATATTTGTCGGGCTGACAACAAAGGAACTAATGAATTATTCATCATTTATTATCAAACTATTTGTTCACAGATGATGCGATTGCTTGAAAAACCCTAACAAAACAAGCTTTTGGCCAGGATGAAATTATGTATTCTATGGGGCCTATAAAATTTTCTGTTTTCCCCCCTGAAATTTATTTGCAATAATAGTACTACTAGTATAAGAAGAAAAAGGTGAGGGCATCACATCACTAACCTAATCCAGCAGACTAATTGTACTAATTAGCTTAGTATTTTTTTTGGCCAGTTACTATTTAGCTTAGCTTAGTACACGATCTAATGGATAAGGAAATTAATTGTACTAATTAGCCGGTTTGCTAAGTGAATTTATTTAGGCTTAATTTAGTATTGTTGTTGAAAGTAGAGTTTACATTTAAAAGATACTTTTGATTCAATTTCAATGCTAAATAATAAAAAATTATTATTTTTTAGTTTCAAAACTTGATTTTTCTAACTCAAACAAAAAAACTTATTAAAGATATTTTTACAATGAAAAAAATATGTTTAAAATAAAAAAATTGTTATATTATTTTTATATTTTTGATATTTTATTATTTTATAAATATTATTTAAACATTTCAATTACTAACTATACTTTTTCATAATAATATCAAACACATAATTTTTAATCGTACTTTTTAAACGCAATTTTCTCAAATTAAACTTATTTCAACCGGAATAATAATATTAAACTTAGACATAGATTATCATGAATTTTCCCATTTGTCTAGTTGTTGAAATAGCTTCTTCACAACATCTAATCTATATGCCAATTCGTGAGTGTAACATATCCCAGAAATCTCGCAGATAAAATGCTCAAATAATGCAAACTAACAATCTAAGATAATGTTCCAGCATCGGCTATCATACTAAGAGGTATTACTATATAAAACTAGACTAAAATAATCAAAAAAAGCTTTTAAATTTTATCCTTTTTTAAGATAAATTTTTATAATTTTATTACACTCAAATAAACCCTTAAATTTTAATTAACACCCAAGTAAAATTTTAATCTTTAATTTATATCCAAATAAATTTTAATTTTTAATATGTATTTAGATAAACTTTTAACATAAATCATTATTTTACTTGAAATAAAAATAATTAAAATATAAAAATTTATTTGAATACAATAATAATATAAAATTTTATTTAAAATAAAAGTAGAATAGTTTAAGAATTTTTTTTAATATTTTAGCTATGAAACTATGAAAAAGTTGAGTGAAAAAAGTGATAATCTTAGACTAATCAAAGCCTGAGATTCTATCAGCATAACTTTGATATGATTAAGATGGCTGGTTCCCTTCTTCTGCAATTAACCAAACACATCAGTTAATGCTTGTAAGATTTTTGTCAGAATTAATTAAAAACCTTTGTCCCAAATCAGTGTTTTCATTAACATTAATTCCATTTGTCCAATCCTTTCTATCAGTTTGATCCCATTAGTTGACATGTACAGACTATTGCAGATTTGCAGTTAGCGTTCTTTATTGCCCATGTGACTTGCCCTAGTTATTTTGTTTGTTTTCTACCAGTGATAAATAATTGTGGATGGGGAGAAATAATTGGTGTTTACTGTTTTCATAATTTATCAATCTTTTGCCAGTGAAATCAATATCTTTATACTATTTGTAAAACTATTTATCCACAAAAAAGAACAGGCACGGATTTGGACCCTTTGCTTTTTTGAGAGATTAGATTATTATTGTCATAACGTATCAATTTATGAATTTATCATTAGATATGAATTAGAAGAATTGTCATCAATTTATAAATTCATAAATTTATCATTAGATATAAATTAGAGAAGTTATCATCAATTTTTTTATTTAGATATGATTTATCACCTGAAACATATTTTAGTTTACGAAAATAGTTATTAGGTTCGAGAGTCGATTATACATGAAGAAAGTTATAGCAACCCCACAATGTCCATCAAAGAATGATACTAGTTTAATTTCAAATTATCCAAGCTTTGATCATTTTATTATTTACCAAATAATTTAATATTGAAAATTAATCTTAAAATTATCCCAATAATTTGATAGTAATTTAAGATAATTTTTTCACCTCAAGAGTATTCATGAAGACTAGTGTCCCACTTTAAAGAGGTTCCATCGTGGGATTTATTAATGTACTTTTATTCAAAAAAATTAGTAAAGCCTTCTAATAGTTTGATAGAACTAATTTCAAAGCAATCCTCCAATAATTTAGATGATAAAAATTATTTTTTATTTATTTGAAAATGATTTTTTATTTTTATTGAAATGATTTTTTTTATTATTAATATTTTTTTGTAGAATTATTTTTTTCTTTTTTACTTTCAGAAATAAATTGGCAGAAATAACTTTTTAAAAAAATTAGAAAGAAATAATATATAAAAAATAAAGGAAATAAAATGGGTTAAAAATAAAATAAAATCAAATCAAATCAAAAAATAAAAATAAAATGAAAAAAGAAAAACCTGTGATCGGGTCAGGTCAGAACCATGGTCAACGTGCGGATCATTGTCAAGTCACCCTTAGTTCAAGGTTTTCCAAAACAGCGTCATTCTGAGTCGGTATAAATAGCACTTTTCAACATTTTTCTTTAGATGCCTTCTGCTTCCTCTCTCTCTACCCTAGCTTTTATCTACCTTCTCTCTAAAACTACTAAGAAATCAATCAGAGACTTCAACCGAAAACTGGGAATTCCATTGGTTTCTGGAAAAGTCACAAAAAAATACA